GTGTCACCGTTTTGAATCTGCGATGGGAGTGCCATGTTTTCTTCACCACGACCCCAAACCATCTCTCTCTCTCTCTCTCTCTCTATATATATATATATATATCTACAACCTCATTGGAGCTCTGTTGAATCTTCTAATCTGCAGAGAGGCTGACTTTTATTTGGTGTGTGAAATGGAATCTGATCTGATTAATCTCCATCTATCAGCATCATTATGCCACAACTCCGATCAGAGACGATGCTTCTCCCCCTCTTCTTGGGGGCTCTCTGCTGCTGCTGCAGCTGCGGCTCTAGGATTGGAGTAACAAAAGGACAATCCGAATCAGAATGAGAATGCTCTGATCATACTCCCACCTCGCACCTCCTTCGACTCCATCTTCGCCGGTGGTAAACCCTAACTTCCATTGATGAGTAACAGAATAGATAGAATACGATGAAGATGAGGGAAAACACTGCAGGAAATTCAGCTTTTAGCGGCGTTTAAAAAACGCTGCGATAAGTGCCAAAAACGCCAGTAATTCTTTTTGTGACGCTTAGCACCAAACGCCGAGGACGCGGCCGTCGCTATAGCATTGTGACGCTTTAAAAACGTCGTTAATTTGTTATAGGCGGCGTTTTAAAAAACGCCTCTAAATGTGGTACATAAGGCAAAGTGACGTCATGACAATTTTAGCGACGCTTTAGAAACGTCGTTAATTTGCTATAGGCGGCGTTTTTTAAAACGCCTCTAAATGTGATACTCAACTGCAAAGTGATGTCCTGACAACTTTTAGCGACATTTCAAAAACGTCATCATAGCTTTTTTAATTTTAAAAAACCTATATAGTGGGGTTCTGAAAAATGCCATTACATCTTTATTTTTTTAATTGTTTTTTTTAAATTATTACTTGTAATAAAATTGCAAAGTAGCACTAATATGAAACAATAACTCCTATTTCCATTCAAATGAACATTTGTCAAAAGAAAAAGACAAAAAAATAACAAAAGAATTGATTTGAGACCAAGCCAGTATCTAGTGATATGTGAAAACGTCTATAATAACATTACGTGCTCCAACAAAAAAATATTTGAAATAATAGACCAGGCAAATTTTGGAAATCATCCAATAATGGGATTAGTTATGAGGCTGCAAACATCAATTAAACCATTAAACTGCCTTCCACCACCATTCTTAGTAGATGTAGCATCATTAGCCAAACGTGTTCGAGCATAATCTAGGGAATAAACAAAAAGAGAAGATGAAGCACCAGCAGCAGCACCTGACGCCAAATTCCCAGCAAACCACTTCCAGTAACCATCCTTGTCTCTCTTGAAATTAAACAGCCTCTTAAAATAATCTTTGAAAGCAAAGTTCAGGGCCTGAAAAGGATTGATGAAATTGCAAATTCTGTGAGACATTCTATAAAACAAGACATGGTTGTCAACAAATGATAAATCAAAACGGAAACTTAATGAATCACATCGACAAGCCAGCATTTTTAATTCAAACTTTCAAAACTGACAGGATGAAGCTATTTGGAGGACCTAAATCAAATCCAGATTAGACATCACTTCCTTTCAAATTTCAGTATGTCAATCCATCCCTTTGTTAGCAAACACATATATATACACTAATTATTATGCAATTGTTATTTCTGCAGACCACACACTCACATGGGGTTGTCCCATCATGTAAGAGGCAGGGTTGTGGAAGAGATGTTTTAGACTGTGGAGATAACTGCTCCCATACTAATCGAGAGCAGAAAAACAAAACAAAAGAAATGGCAAGATTAACAAATATAAACAAAAGATAGGCTAACCTTGGTTGGGAAATATCTGATAACATTGGTAGTGTTGCTTCTCCACAAAGCAATAATGCCTTCATCCTTAATTGTTCGGGCAAAGCAGTCAGAAATTCCTTTTTATGGTTCAGACAACCGACCAGCTTTGATCATCTCATCCTGGTTCTGAATCATCCTGGTTCTGAATCAATAGCTTAACTCGCTCTATCGGAGCAGCAGCAGTCTTGGATACAGCAGCAGAAACTCCTCCCATGAGGAAGTCTATCATAAAACTACGAAAACCTTTTTCTGTGGGAGCTTGTACAAAAACAGAGGATAGTGGTGATGCAAATTCCAGGCCAGTGCCTTGGAATGTTGGTGGCAGAGGACTCTGCAGACCTCCATTTACATATGCACCAGTCATATTGTGTAAACCAGTATTCCTGGAGCGCAAGTTAGGAGAAATTCGAGATAAGAAATAAGATTGCCCATGTATCTTCTAGGAAATTGATGGATGCTGTGATCCATCCGCCATATTTGCAACTCAAGGTGGCAGCCTGCAACAGAAACCAACATTAATTACATGCAAGAATAAAACAAAAACAAGCATATCAAACAAAGAACACAATAAAGGTTTAAATACAAGGAACAATAGAGAGAAGGGTTTTTCCCTACCCAATCTTTTCGCTACTATAAACACCGGTGCCAAAATATTTATCACTTTAAAAAAATTAAAATAAAAACATATTGTTTGAGTCAAATGACTTTGGAGGGAACAAATAGTTACAGAGTATTATGTATACTATCCTTGAGGTTTACCCATCTTAATTTTCAAATCTAAGCAATATATGCATGCATGCTAAACAATTTTCAAACACAAATATAATTAAGGGGAAAATAGATCAATTCATTTAGGCTGCAAAAGCATGCTAAATAAAAGCGACAAACGCGTTGTACCTTAAAATGCACAATAATATGTCCATAATGCGATCCCACAACACACGTAATGGCAGCCATCAACGAGCTAGAACATTTTAGAGCAAAAGAGGTTTAATCAAAGAGCCTTCATATGAAAATAATATTATCAAGACTAAAATATAGTCTGTCAGAAAATACAACAGTGGAGCTATTCTCTAAGTGCTGCCTTATCAACGATATCAATCCTATTAACTTAAATAATAAAAGACCATGAAATTACTCTAAACCTTTGATAATAATAATGAAGGATTGTCCTCAGTAGAAATAAAACAAATTGTTCATGTTATAACATCAATCCTCCAAAAAGGAAATGATCGATCTGAATAGCATAATACCTATATATCAATACATGACAAATATGAATTCCATTCAACATTTGTTAGGTCCTTAATAGATAAAGTACAACATTTAAGATTTGTCTTGGACCATAATGGAATCTCTAATGCTATTTGGGAATAAGTGAACAAGTGTTTGGGAGTAGATTGGGTACATTTCTAGCTTGCTTTCCTCCAATGCCAACTTGGGCATTTGAAATAGCAAATTGTAAGATTAAGTCAGCTCTGCAGAGGAATTGAATAAGATAAAGGCATTGCTATTCCGATTTTCCACTCAATTAAGATTTATGGCAACATTTAGATACTATACTTCATGTGATCAGAATACCATGATTTATGACTATCACTTCTCTTGCGCTTGAGGATATCCCCAGTCTTAGAAATAAAATATAAGATAAAGATTACTTAAAGTTTATGGGTCAGAAAGTTCTCTAACCTTAAGATGCCGCCAGGGTCAAATGAAGCAAGGCACCATTATGGTGAATTTAGTGGTAGAGATCCATAATCAGGAGAGTTGACACTGCATTCTTGTTATATGGAGAAAGTTAACCATGCAAGGATCTACAAGGGATTTAAAGACTTTAATATAGGAAAGTCTAGCCCAACTAACATGATGATCAGAGAGGAATGAGAAGAATCAACCCTGAGCTAGCATGGATTGGAATCCGAAGAGCTAACGCCCAACTATAGTAAACAATTATCTAAACATAGGGGTGCAATGACACAGGTAAGAAACTAATAATAAAAGTTTACTCTGCAACATATGGTAGTAATCAAATATTAATGAAGATTAATTAAAAATCAAATCTTAACTTATGGCAAACATCAAGTGACCAAAGTGCAAAGTTTAAAAATAAAAAATAAAAATAAAAGAACTCTCTGTTCTAGGCAACAAAATAGAGGATGAATTTGATAAATAAACAAAAATCAGAGCAAAAAAAGAACAACTACTTGGTAATAATCTATCGCTTGAATTATCTCCATCAATAATGCTCACTGCTATATGTTTTTCCTAGTTTGATGCTACATTACAGTTCAAAGAGTATTTATTCAATAGATTTTTAGGCAACCACTAAGTTTAGTGCCAGCCCAGTCCCAAAAAGTGATTAACCTAGAATGGTTTAATTTAAACAGACCAAAAACGTATGAGAACCACTCCACCAGCAAAATCTTGACTGAGAATGAAGGGATCAGGTCAAATCATTGATGAAGAGATTTTATTGCTATGAATTAACATCAAGACACTGACTTATAAATAATGCTACAACACTTCTCAATATACATGCAGAATTGATTTGTAAAAGATATTACAAACTAAGAATGCTACAGAGTCTAATCATATTTTCTGAAACTGAAGATATTGTATACTTATAGTTTTAGATGTTAATGTAGCGAACCAGTAATTAACAATATATAGCACATTTTTCTTGTAGTTTCTCTTGGAGTTGATAATTTGAACTCCACTAAAACAATGTAATCAAGAGCAAAAGACTAGTCAAATTTAAGCCCTAGTCATTAAACACACATTGTCGTTTCATCACCTCACCTAGATCAACTGTCCAGGGCCAAGTCAAATTTTACCCTTACAAATTAAAGGTGTTGTAGCAATCAGAGCTAAAAGATTAAAGGTGCTTATAAAAACTAATGCTTTTTGTTAGTACTTTTACCTTGTTCGTTCGTTCTTCTTCTTCTTCTTATTCTTCTTCTCCTCTTTCTTTGAAAGGTAAAAATGGATCAATCAAGGCTGGACAATTCTGAAACAGGGAAACTGTTGGTAGATCCATAATGGATCCTCTACTCTTTTCTGGGATGACCAATGGGTTCCTACTATTCCAGGGGTCGTGTCAATCGATTCAAGCTCGTTGAATCAAAGCTCCATTGATTCAGTTCACTTTTATATATGATTTCTAATTACACAAACACCCTTCAAGAATCTCTAATTATTTTCTCTTTTTTTTTTTTTGATAAATATTCAAGAATCTCTAATTCTAAATACATATGCAACACAAATCACAACCTTAATTTAAATTAATATCCCTTCAAACTTCAACTGGAAAAAAGTTGAAAACAAGAAAACCAATTGGAAGCCAATTTGGTTTATGCGCAATCCTAATCCTCTCTCTCTCTCTCTCTCTCTCATAATATAACAGAACCATTATAGAAATTAGTCAAAAAACAAGATAACCCAATAGATACATATAAAGACAAGATCCAAAACCAAAGGTAGTTGCCAACCTTGATTCAACAGTCGGCTGCACATGGGAACGACTTGCATGAAAGGTTCAAGCTTCTGGTACTCTGCTAAGAGCTATGCCAAGTACTGGCTACAAGAAATAAAGAATACCCAGAAACATATAAAACCCAATTCAATCAAAGCTATAAACTCATCAAAAACTACCCAATCATTAGAATCAAAATCGAATCGAAAAGGGTCGTATAATATACCTATCAACATCTGGGCTGGTCCTTATATGTGGAGAAGCAGTTCTTACAGGTGAGAAACTTGAATTCTGGGGGAACAAACTAGACATGGTTGGCTGCAATGCAAAAATGATTCTTGAATCTTGATTTGAGATAAAGTTCAAAACACAAATGAAAGGTTTTTTTACATGAGAACAAAAAAGAGAACTTTGAATGGTTGAAAGGTCGGTCTTGACAGCAAACCCCCTGAAAATGAAGGAAATAAAGACAACGAAAAATGTGAAATTTCTTACAATTGTGAGTGTGGCTTTTCTTTTAACAGTTCAGTGGGTTTAAATAGGTGTGGTTTCACACCGTGTGAATCCGGTGGCTTTTTCTTGGGAAAAAAGCTAACTATTCAAAATGTTTCAGTGGGTTTACATATAAATGTTTCTACAAAATTTATATGTAGAAACAGCTTCCTCTGGCACTCCTTCAAAAGCTTACTAGTCACACAGCAGATGCTCACAGATATCAAAATTAGACTCAAATGAATAGTTTTAACAACCCTTGTGACAGAAAACAGAAAAATTAAAACTGAAATATATGAAAACTTGGAGGAACAAAGTATATTATTGGGAATTTCGTTCTAATAGATCAGTGAAGTGCTTTTCGCACTGATAGGATGCACAACCTTAGAGTGGTGGCCATAGTAATATGGATGGGACCATTTACACCTGTATGAAATGTTTAACCTGTTACTTATAGGGGAAACAGATGCAAAAAGAAGAGAGATAAAAAGAAAGCTCAATGAAGTAAATATGGCATACAAAACAATTGACAAGCATATTGTGTTCTACTTCAGAGGACAGATACTGTCCATAATATTATATAGAATGTAAGCACTATCCGAAATCAAAACAACTCACTAAACATTACAAGGAAAACTAACCACCCAACAGTGATGCAGAAAAACCAGGAAGCACATAAGCATACTTGAAAATTTTACACAGAATTAACCATTATGAGAATATTTCTTTCTGTAAAGGGAATAACTCCTCAACATGTTTGAAAGATAATTTTCTCACAATAACTTCGATTATTTTCAGAGAGTAAATTCATTGAACATATAATGAATGTAACTAGAATAAAATCTGGCTTCATTCTCAACAGAAACAACACTGGAAACATCATCATCACAAGTACAGTTTACCAGGGACACAAATTTGCAGGAAGGTGGTTGAGTACCCAACAACATATGAATATTTAAACCCACCATGTCCCCGTGTCCTAAGATACTCGCAACGGTTGGATTTCGCAAGAATCTCAAGACATAATCAAATCTTTACAAGTGGTTCAAGACAATGAAACAGAGAAATTTGGGGGCCGAAGATCTTAGCCTCTATACAAATAAACACGTGATAAGTATTTACATGAAATATGATTAAAGAAAAGCGTGGTTACTTGAATGCAGTTGCCACTGGACCTATGCCGAAAACTGAAGCCACGATAATCTCCCTAATTAATCTCTGCGATGAAAAACAATAACAATTACATCAAAAAATTAAGCAAGAACAATCAAAATGTTGAGGTGGTTTTAATCGTTAAAAATCACCAGAATCTTGCTCATGATGGTAGTCAAACCAATCCACGCAGCACGTTGAATCAAGCCAATGTCTACAAAATCACCCAAATATTAAAGCATTCTAGGGTTACAGACACACATTTATTTGTATATGTATATATATCGAGAGTCTAGGGTTGGGAAATAGTACTAGAGGACATCGAATTGGTGTCATCATCTTCGACCTTGGACGCGGACTGGAATGCATGGCTTGAAGAAGTTTCCACCGAGTCGATTCGAAAATGTACAGGTTCTTTGAAACAAGGGACTGTTTGAATTCGACTGAATTGGTGAAGAATTCAAGTGTGAGAAGGATTCGACGATGATGAGAAGTGTGATGGGAGAGAAGTGAGTTCACATGGGTGAACAAGGAGTGAGAACCGATGAGTCGGCGAGATTGGGAGATTGTGAAACTCCAAAATGTTGCGAAGCTTGAGGGACTGGGACTCCATCTCTCTACAACTTCGTAGTACAGGCAGTTGGCGCCAATATATAGGGTTAAAAGGCAGCAATACATATAAATTAGGTTTAATTACAAATTGATATATGAATCGGCCCTGTACATCATCAACTTGAACTAAGCATCTACCAGATGCAATCTCAAGTAGCCTAAGAATTTCTTATTTCATTCAAATGGGCAAAAAATTAAATTGAAGTAGATGAGTAGCGATCTACAATGACATATTAGTGTAAAAAACACAGAACCATACATAAATCACCAATGGATCAAACTCTATTACACACAGAAAATTAATAATTTCAATTTCAATAAATATATATGCATAAATTACTGCAAAATACAAAAAATTTATATAAAGAGAGGGGGGAAAATGCTGATATGAGATGGAGTGATATCAGTCATAAGCTTGAATCTCAAATGAATGCTAGAACTGAAATTACAGAAAAATCAAGTGCATGAAAAAAGAAAACAATCCAGATTTATATTCTTTAATATTTTTTCCCCAGTTTTCTCAGCAACCAAACAAAGAAAAGGCAATGAAACAGAGCATATATAACTCATCAGTGAAAAACAATTACTGAAACAGAGCACATACAACTCATCAATCACTGAAACAGACACACACACACACACACACAGAGACGGGAAGGAAGAGCTTCAGAGAGAGAGAGGGTGGAGCTCACCTTAGTAGACGATGGTGCAGATGATGGTGCAGACGATGGTGCAGATGGTGGAGACCGATCTGAATCTCTGACGCTCTGCGATGAAATCACTGAGATGAAATCGCTTTGAATCTCTAAATCTCTGAGTTGAATCTCTAAATCTCTGAGATGAATCTCTGAATCGCTTTGATAAGGGTTTAGAGAGGGTTGAGAGAGAGAGAGAGAGAAAGAGAGACAGTGGAGCTCATCTTCGTTGGTGCTCGCTACCTCGCTCTGAGAATGAATAAACGGTGGAGCTTCGAAATCGCTCTGAGATTTAGAGAGAGCGAGAGAGGGCGCTCGAGATCTGGGTCTTAGGTGAGTCTCAGATTCAAAATTAGGGTTTGAAAAGGGGGGAGACCATGCGCGTGAATCACAACGCATTTGGAGGCGTTTTTCAACGCCTCCTATTACAAAACGGTAACGTTTTATTAAGCAAATATGCGACGTTTTATAAAACGTCGTTAAATATTAAAAAAAGTAACGTTTAAAAAAACGTCGCTAAACAAACGTCGCCTAAACTGTTTTTTCCTGTAGTGAAAAGAGCACGAGATCGTAGAGCCGCCCAATCAGATCGTACCCACAATATATATATAGATCATAGAGCTCAATCGGCTAGAGAATGAAGTCAGGGGTGAGGAACAAGAGTTGATCTGGATGGGTCTGAGAATGGAGAAGTTTAGAGAGAGAGAGACATGAGTTTTGATTTGGTAAGGTCAAATTTCTCTGTGATATGTTCAGGGATCTTAGACATCCAAAATTAATTTTGTGGATCTCTTCCATTACGAAAAGTGGGAGAGGGACCCTTCACTAATTTTCCCTAAAAAAAAATTACGATTTTTATAGTGAAAAAGTTATGATATTTCGGATTTAAGTTATGAAATTTTGTGAAAAGGTTACAAAATGCATACTATATGCACCTTTTTGAAGGTGTACATTGTAACATTTCCCTTTTTACAAACCCTAGTTGTAGTTTAGGGTTTGTGAAAAATTTAGTTGTCATATTGCTATGAATATTATTTGAAAGACGTAGTCAAGCAGCGATATGAACATGATACGTGTAATCATGGTTTGTTTTAGGAAGATGATAAAAAGTTAATTTTTTAATTTTTTTTAATGATTTTTTTGGCAAATGTTGAAATAGATTTCTGACCTAATCCTGCTAAGGGCAGATGCACCCAAAGCATTACAATAATTACATAAATAGAGGTTTATTCTATTCCTATTAGAGACAGAAAGGGTTTATCATATTGTTTTTACAAAGAAATGTCAATGGGTGTCTTTCGCGTATTGTTTACTATTAAAATTTATATGATAAATGCTTTGAAAATAAATAAATAAATAAATAATTAAATAATTCTGAAATCACTAAAAATGTGAAAACTATCTCATATTTTTAAACTAAATATTTAAATACACAACTCCTTTTATACAAATTTTTTAAAAATAAGAAAAAAACAAACTTGGGCAGCCAATATTTCGACTTTGGAGGGTCGCAAAGGAAAGTGATTCCGCTCAAGTTAATTGACTAAAACATTATTTTAATTAATTAATTTATCGGTCTAAATATTTTTTTTTTGAGAAAAAAAATCAGAAAAAATTATTGAAAAGTCCACTTTAATAATTGTCTAAGGCATTAGGTTCAGTGGATATTTTTTATTGGTGAGAGGTCCACCATTTGTGAAATAATTTGGTGAGAAATTCTTTTATTTGTTTTGAAGAATATTTTGTTTTCAATTTTACTCCTTAATTTATCTGTTAACTTTTGTTGACTATATGTTTAATTTTTTTTCATCTGTTCCAATTTTTTTATTCTATCTGTTTAATTTTTTCCCCTTATCTGTTGAAATATCTGTTCAGATTTTATTATATGTTTTTTTTTTATCCATTTAATTTTTTTTTATATCTATTTTGAACATATTTTATTATCCGTTCAAATTTTGAACAGATCAGTCCTATTATCTAATCTGTTCAAAAGGTATTATCTGTTCAAAAATTTTTTTTTTTACCCGAAACCCCTTTGTCTTTCTTTCTCTTCAAAACCCCTCTCTCTACTTGTTGAAGATATACAATCACACCACAAGAACTCTAGAGACCCATCAAACCCAATGGAGGTCCAATCCAAAGAAGATCGCGCCCGCACATGACAACCACTCCATAAACCGTGAAGATCCATGGACTGTTACCTGAAGGTGGAGGGACGTCACCAGCGGTTGAGGATACCAACGACCTGTGTAGCCTGTATATTTCACCTGACATGCGAACTGGGACCCCGGTGTGATGGAGAGAGTCCAGTGGCTCCTCCAACAGATACGACCTCAACTCATCCGACCCAAGCAACCCAGGACCAGGATCCATATGAAGTCGGGGTTAGAGTTGGGTTATCCGAATGGGAATAATGGGGGTGGGAAGAGGACGGTAATGAGGGCGACAGTTGTACAAGCCTCGACTGTATATGCATGTCTTAGGAGGGAGAGAGAGAGAGAGAGAGGCGATACCAGCGGTGGCCGGTGGTGGTATTGGGGGACAATAGAGTCCAGAGAAAGGAAGAATCGTAGACCGACCACCGCCTTCATTTCCCTCAATAGATCAGCGGAGATCAGAATTTCGATGTTGGCGACCAGATTGCCGCCACCTCACGACGGACCTTGGCGAAGATGAACATTTTGGAAACCTTAGAGATGGAAGAGAAGAGAGGAGAGATGAGAGAGGAGGGAGAGAGAGATGATATAGATCAGAGATGGGTTTGAGAAATAAAAGGGTTTGAAAAATAGAAGTGTGAGAGACGTAGGTGGTGAAGGGATATTTTGATCATTTTGTAATAATTTGTACTTGTGAACATGATAGATTAGTGCTTGGAATCTTGGAAAACAAAATTTAAAATTGAATTTTTCGCCCGAATGTCCAAAAAACTAACGGTTTAAATAATTTTAACATAATCTAACAATCATATGTAAAGTATTTATATTAAAAAAAAATTATAAATATATTTAGAAACTCTTCAAAAATGATGTTTAGACTGCTCACCGGGTACCTGCATACTCTACAAAAATCCACCACAGAAGACCTTCCGAAACATGGTTTTATAAACAAATAATAAATTCTGATATTAGATTCATAACAAATAAAAATAATAGGACAAATTACACCGGTGGTCCTTATATTTTACCCTTATATTATTTTGGTCCTTACACTTTCAATTGACTCGATTTTGATTATTAATTTTAGATTTTGCGTCTATTTGGTCTAATTGATAATGTCGTTAGTATTTTGCAAGAAAAAACATCTCTAAATTGGTTGAGATTAACTCACCAAGTTGAGTAACCCTTAAAAATATGGCACATGACACTTGTATATCTTTCATAAAAGGATGCTAAGAATTGTAACCAGTTGGACCAAAATGAAAGAAAAACTCATAAATTTATAATCAAAATCGAGCCAATTGAAAATACAGAGATTAAAATGACACAAGGGATAAAGTACAAGGACTACCATCGTAATTTGTCCCAAACTTAAATCTTAGAATATTGAAATTTGGGTATGGAGACGTGTCATGGACACATTTCATATGGTATAATATTCTCAAAAATGTTGTAAATCATATAAAAATGTACTACAAATTAAATAGTATAATTTTAGAAAAAAATATAAAATTTCTTTACCTCATGCATGTGAGAGGCTAGAAACATTTTTTTAAACTAGCGAATGTAAATTTCTTCTTCATACATTGTAATAAATTAAAGGGTTCAAACATCTACATTGGTTATGGGTGTTGAATGTATATTCCATACCTTGACCCTTGTTATATCCGGTGAACACAGATGGAAGGAAATAGAAGAGTCCATGTGTCTCAGCCATGAACCGCAATCTCATGCTTGGCTGCCTGTTTCCAGCTTGTATGCAATAGTCCATCATAACTAATATCACAATGAATCATATCATTCTTATACTTTCACATAGATCGGAAGTTAAAGTATGGAATTCAAATTATTAAAACTATAAAGATCAAAGTAAAAATTCACTCAAGATGGAAGGACTAATGAGGTAATTTATCCAATCAACACAAAGAATGGTTTGTATTTTTTAGAATGGTTTGTTGGGTCAGCAGCAATACTGTCGAAGGCAACCCACCAGGTGGAGGGGGCCTTGTCATTCCAGTTTAAACATAGATAAATTACATCATTAGTCTAGTAATTTAAGTATCATTTTAATACAAGTACTTATAATTTGAACCTTAATACTTTTAATTTTATTACAATATTATCCTTCCATCATACACCGTTAACATTTTGAATGAAAAACCAACATGTAGAAAACTAAAAGGACCAAAGTAAAATTCAAATAAACTATAGGACTGCCAGTGTAATTTATTATTTCTTTTCTCGTGAGAAATTGATAAAAATCTCTCGTGAATTGCACACACATTCTTTTTCCATTGAAAACTCTAGCAATAAATAACAAATGAACCCCACTACAACAAAACTAAAAACGTATAGATATTCAAATTGAAACGACGATCAAAATAAAATTTCGCTCAAGCAAGAGGAACAAACAGTCTAATTTACCCTTTAAACAAATAAATAACTACAAAAATACCCCCAGCTCGAGATAGGGAATCCACACCCTACATCTCATTACAGTGCATCAAGTTCAGCACCTATTTGTGAGGAAGTTGGCTTCAACTTCTCCATCAAGAAAGAACAAAAGAGAAGATTGGCTTCTCTCCTTGTAGAAGACTCGAAGGATCAAGATGAAAGCTCTTGGATGATCCAGACGCAGCTGAAGAAAACCATTTTGAATTGAAGCTCCTGAAGGTCAACAATGAAGGCACCTTGAAACTTCCCGAACGCATCCGAAATGCGGTGTTTTGGCATCGCCACTTGTGCATCTCATCCTCGGAAGAAACCTATAAATAGAAAGGTAATGAAATGTATTTTGTTTGCAAACATTGAATTTGAAGAAGAAGAGAGTGGTGAGGAAACACGAGTAAATTATAATCTCTCCAAATATATAGAATTCCGCTACTCGTGGACGTAGGCATTGGGCTAAACCACGTAAACTCTGTGTGTTTCTCTCTTGTGTGTGTTTTTTTGCATCAATCTATAGCTCTCTAGCCTAACACTATTTAGAATTGAAACAATTTAAGAGAAGATTAGTACAAAAAAGCATAGGAGAGACATAAATTGAGTACACCAATAACCTCTAGATGCACTAGCCTCCAATTATGTGGCTGTCTCACCCAATCTTACATGGACTTTGTAAACTAGTAAACACAGAATATGCAGCGGATAAAGGAATCTGATCATACCTTCTTGATGATAGAACCTTCTTGGATAAATCACGTGCTTCCAGAAAACTTCTTGATGAACCAACCTAGCAGTGGAGTGATATCACAGATTGAATATCACCCACACAAACCACAGTGTCAAAGACTTGATCGTTGTATTTTTTTGGGAGAGAGTCAGTATATGGGTAGAAACAGACTATCGTTGTTTCTCACTTGGATTACCCATAACCATATAACAGATATATATTATATTATAATATCTATCCATATCAATTTAAAACTGATAACATCTGTTTCTTGAGTGGTTATCCTAAATAGGTTTGATTTCAAATTCAAAACCTATTTGGATAAGGATTCAAATTCAAATTTAATGGTCATGCCACATGGGCGCACATTACTAACATCTCCCACTCGCACATGAGTTGGCATGACACTGCCACATCTCTATCTCAATCTCCCCAAAAACGAACAATCTCATACTAGCCAATGCACCGTGCGACCGC